AGGACCCACCCCTGGGGGACACCACTGACTACAGGTCTCCAACTAGACTCCGCGCCACTGACTACCCCTCTGCACCCTGCCACTGAGCCAATTCCTAATCCACCWMCCCGTCCACTCATCTATCCCACACCTTCGGAGCTTGCCCAGGAAATATGAGCACTGTGTTGCTCAACTTTCTCCCTTATTTTGGTTTTCCTTCCTGGGGTATCTTTCCTAGTCCTTCTTTCCATTCTTTTGGCATCTCTTCTGTATTAAAGTCATTGCATCCTGTCCTCCATTCCCACACACATGCTCTGTCCCTTGATTTCCAGAGAGAGAGAACTTGATGTGAATTTGCACTCACAGTGTTCCCTGAGAAACTCTTTCCCTATGGAAATTCAGCCCCTTGAGCCCTCCCAGGCAGAACTACCCGCTTAGACCAGGCTGTCTGTCTCCAAACCCYGTCCCAAACTTTGCACAAGAACATATCCAAGAAAGTGGTGTTAGTGGGAGCTTGCCTCTGCCCAAGCCCAGCATGGTGCAGGAGCTCTGGAAGAGGGGAAATGACAGACCCAGCACTAACTCACTTGCCAAAGATGAAATAATCCCCTGGCCATGTCCACTTGCTTCCTCAGTCACCACCTCTCTAGTGCAGCATCTGTCCCCAGGGACTTTCTCAGCAGCTGGTGGAGATGGTGATTTCTCACCCACGGAGGTTTCCCCACACAAACTGGTTTTCCAGAACCATTTTCCTCCACAGGGAGACATGGAATGACCATTGTGTTCCTCTCTGGTGCTGTTGGCTTTCTTTTCCCTCCATTTTTCTCGCTTTCTCTTCCTGCCTTTCCCTCATTCTTTCTATTATGTATAAATAGTTCTGCTTAACTCTTTATTTTTACACATCATGGTGTCTACAGAGTATTTGATTTGAAAAGTTCTTTACGCCAGTGTTTCTGACTTTCATTCTCCTCTTGATTTTACTCTTTCCAAACTGCACCTGTGCTTTAGAAAGTGCACAGACCTTGATTTTCCAATAAAAGTTTCCAAATCTGGGTTGCAGGCCTCCATATGAGTTTGCATTTCATTATTTTTCCAGCTTTTGTTGTTACCACAGAAGGATTTTGTTTATTTGTTTTTGCGCCTTCCAAAATACTTTCTCTTTTCTCTCTCCTAAAATACAATTCTTAAATTTCGGAGCTAGACCCCCTATCTTTTTTTTTGCAAACTCTTCTGAGGAATAAGAGAAACAGACTTGTTCCTCTTTTCCTCTTTCTACTTTTATGGGAGGGATGGATCCTCGTATGATGCAAAACTCACTTTGTGCCATTGGCTCCTTGGTACCATGTCAAATGGCTGCAGATCTGCCCCTGAACTGTAGATACYCACATTTATATGTCGGCGGTGCCACTCAGTGAGCCATTGAGTATCTGCTGTAACAAAGTATGAGCAYGACCTGCTCCTGGTTTGCAATTCTCCTGCGACAGATAATCAGTGTGCAGTGCTGCCTGCACTCTATTGTAAACGTGTTGAGAAGCAAGTTATTTATGGGATGGTGCTAGACCTACTTCCAATTAGTTGAGAATATGTTGCTGCAAGGAACTGGCAAAGCCAGCTGCATTTGTTATTTTTGGTTTCACTTTGTGACTTTTCAACAAAGTTGAAATCATCCTTGATTGAATAGATTAACGCTGACAGTGACAGTTCTGGCTGGGTGCTGAAAATATTGTGCCTCTAGAGTTAACTTGTGAGTGATTCCAAGGGTGATTTTAATTGCTGGCACTGGTCAAATGACAAGTAGGAATTATTTTTAGCTGTTTGGGATTAATTTCTCCAGTACTAGGAAAGAATGGCAATCTCATAAAGATAGAGCTTTGTTAGATATAGATATTTTTCTCCCTCTTTCTCTCAGTAGCAGAGATAACATAGCTATAGGGATGAATAATGTATTTGCTACATCACAAAAGATTATATATCTTATAATGCTTGGTATTTGGTCTGTTTATTGATATCCAAAGGTAAACATCGGAGTAGCACCGAGGGTAAACAT